CTGTCTCCCCACCCCGCCCCACGCTGCAGTCGTTCCTCGGGGACCAGTACGGACAGGATGGGACGTACCGGAACTCGGTACAGTCTGTGCAGGGGCGGGGGCTATGTCCCTGCCCGGGGAGCCTGGGGCTGGCAGGGCTGGGGTGGGAGCTGCCTGCTGCTGCACTCACCCCCTGCCTTGTTGCTTGGCCCAGGGATGCGCCAGCAGCATCCGGAGGAGGATCCAGGGCACCGAGTTCGGCAGCATCTTCCTAGAGACCATCCCCGTGCTGCAGTGGTCATGGCACGTCAAGGAGGCCGAGTACCAGCGTCTGCGGAGGTACCACGGAGCCTTTGGCTGGCAGGAGGTTTCCTGGCCTGGTGAGAGCTCGGTGGGGCTGGGTGTCTATCCATGTGCCGCGCATGGGCTTTGCTGCGGGGCTCCTCTGGCTCACCCATCCCCTCTCTCCGGCGCGTGGTTTCAGTGCTGCGAGATGCTCTGAGCCTGCTCAACACCTCGGCCAACACGCGCGTGTTTGAGGCCCGGGGCCCTGGTGACCCCTCCTGCATCCGCTGTGCCGTGGTGGGCACCGGCGGCATCCTCAACGGCTCCGGCATGGGGGCCGCTATCAACCGGCACGACTACGTGTTCAGGTGGGAGCTCACGGGGGAGCTTCGGGCACGGTCCTGGCCCCGTGGCCCTTGCAGGTTCTTCACTGGCCCCTTCCCCATCCCTGCAGGATGAACGGTGCCATCACCGCGGGCTTCGAGCGCGACGTGGGGGACCGGACGTCCTTCTACGGCTTCTCCACCAACACCATGATGAACGCGCTGCGTGCCTATGCTGCCAACGGCTTCCAGCAGCCGCCACAGACACCGGTGAAGGGCGCAGCCGGGCAGGGGGAGGCAATGTAGTCTGGAGTGCTGGCTCAGGGTTGGGACCCCTGGGTTCCTCTCTTGGCTCTGCCACTGTCTGCCTGGGTGACCTTGGGCATGCCACTTTGCTCTGACTGTCGAAGAGCTGGACTTCATCGAAGCCCTGTGGATCCCCAGAGGTTTCCATCCCCTTCTCGGCCCCCCGAGCCGTCAGTGCCGACCCCAGCCCGCATCCCAGCTGCCGGGCAGCAGAAGCTGCGGAGGCGACTCCAGGGGTTGCTGGGGTCTGTCCTCTCCACCTGTCCCCAGTGAAGCCCCCCACTCAGGGGCTGGGCACAGCCGCCAACCTCCTCCCATCGCAGACCACAGCCAAGGAGCTGGGGGCACTGCAGGGCCAGGGAGGCAAGGCCGGGCCTGGTTAATTATGACTGGACAGTGTTAATTGTTCCCGGGCTCTTTGCCGCAGGAAACCAGGTACCTTTTCCTCCCGGACCATGACCGTGATTACCTGTTGCTCCGGGCGGCCGTGACCCGCAGCCCCGTGGACCAAGGCCAAGACAAGGGTGCTCGGTGAGTCTTTCGGGGAAGGGGGGGCGTTCCCCAGATGTTCAAGCCCCAGGGTGAGCCAGTGTCTGCCCTGGGCACGGGGTCTGACTGCCCCCCTCCCCTTGCAGGTATTGCAGGGGCTCCAGGCCATGCTCATATCCATGCGGGGCAGGCTAGTCTGCTCTGACCCATTGTGGGGACCTGTCCACAGGGAGCTTCTGTGGCCTCCTTGTGGGGGGAGAGGGGGGCATGGCTGGGCCTCCCCAGCCAGCTCCGCTGTGCTCCCGCAGGCCCCAGCAGTACTTTGGAGAGGACCTGAGGGCAGAGAAGTTCAAGATGCTGCACCCCGACTTCATCCGCTACCTCCGGAACCGGTGAGAGCCCCACGGGGCAGGTCAGGTCGTGCCCGCGCTGCCAGGCCGTCACTCCCCAGGGACCCCCTGCCCAGGTCGCCATGAATGCTCCTGGGGAGGGCAGCAGCCCTCCCCCCCGGTCTGGGTCAGGATGGCATCGGCATCCTCACCTACGGTTGCCGTGGTGAAGGTTTCCTAGCAACAGGAAACGCCCTGCATCTGCTCCATCGCAGATTCCTCCTCTCCGAGACGGTGCGGTCCCTACACTGGAAGCTGTACCGCCCCTCCACCGGGGCCGTGATGCTGCTGGCTGCCATGCACGTGTGTGATGAGGTACAGCCTGCCCCCACACGCCCATTCCCACTGGCTGTGGGGTCCTGCTCTGCCCCTGCCCCGCAGGGGCTTCGGGCACCGCCTGGTGCTGGGGCACGCTGCACCCCCTGCTCCAGGGCCGTGGCCAGCGGGCCCCTGCGCATCCCAGCACTGCTCCCATGTGAACCCCATGGTCGCCTGTGCCACGGATGCAGCACCGGCATGGGGCATGTCTGCAGGGGTCCTGCCCTGCTTGCTTGGCCTGGCTGCCTCTGGGGGATGCAATGGGAGAGGGGATAACACCAGGTCGGAAAAGGGCCGGGCACGTCCCATCACCCCCGTGGGCTCCCCTGCAGTGTTGGGCTTGCTGTCCTCCCCCCGCAGGTGAGCGCCTACGGGTTCCTGACCCCCAACTACGCGGCCTTCTCGGAGCACTATTACGACCGGGTGCACAAGAGCATCTCCTTCTACCTCAACCACGACATGCAGCTGGAGTTGCGGCTCTGGCAGCGGCTGCAGCGCAGCGGGCTCCTGACGTTATACACGCGAGGCTGACTGCCAGGAATGCGCTGGGTCATGGCACGGGGGCCATAGAGACACCGCAGCCCCGGAGGACGCCGGGGGCACAGCCGGCGCCACTGCATTGTGCACGGGCCAGTGGCTACCCTGGCAAAGCCCCACTGGACCTGTCCCCTGGGGGCACCTGCCCGCTCTGCAAAGGACAGAGGTCAGAGCTCACATCTGAGGTCCAGCAGCGCCCAGCCATGCTCAATGGGGGCAAGAGGCAGGTCCCTTGAGTGCTGCGCCTCAGTTTTCCCCTCCGTGGAATGGGTGCACCAGTTGTGTGACATTGAGTTCAGCCCTCCCCTGCAGCGGGTGGGGCCGGCACTGCCCAGGGGTGGCTTGGCAGTGCCCCAGAATCACCAGCCCCTCGCCCTCCTTTTCTGAAAGGGGCATTGGCCATGAATAAACACCCGGGTCCATAGCCGGCTGGTGCGCTAGGTTCCCTGTGCTTCCCGCAGCCCCCAGCCGAAAGCTTCCCTGCTGGCCGGCCGGGGCTTAGAAAGGGCAGCGCAGCACTAATGAGCTCGGCTAAAGATCCCCAATTAAGGAGGCCGCTCTTTGCCAGCGGATTAGCAGGGATCATCAGGACCTATTAGCCAGGAGTCAGCCCAGCGTGCGCTGGGGGAAAGGTCAGAGGTGGGGTGGGCGGGCGGGGGGTCACGACCACATCTGGTGTCTGGTCCGGGCCCGGGGGCGCCTCGGGGATTATTCTCCGACCCAGACTGATCCGGCGGGAACGCGGCGCGAGCTGGCAGGCTCCGGGCAGGGTCGTTGGACACCCGCGGGGCGGGGGCCCCGGGCTCCGGTCTGTGCCCTGGCATGATGGTTGCCCCTAGTCGTGCTTGCTCCCGGGGCTGGTGGGCTCAGGCAGAGGCCAGGGGTGAGAGAACACCAGCGGAGCCTTTATTGGGGGCTGCCGCCTCGCGCAGGAAGCAGGCAAGGTCAATGCGAGGGCTGGGGCACGCGCCCAGCTGTTCTA